GCTGTGCAAAAACATCAAAGGCCATTTTAAAATGCAGCCAAAATAACGGGAAAACTATTGCAAATACGGCATATGCGGGTGGCTCTGCCTAAAATGGCTCCGATATGCATCGCACTCAAGAACATTCTGCTGGATCACTCAAGGGTTTAGACATGAAAAGATCCCTTTGTGTGGGAATGAAAATAGATATTTTTTCCGCCTCTTTAAAAAACACATGCCCCCTTTTCATTGGTCCTCCTCTTCCTATTCATCCCCCTAAAAACGGCCAGACCCAAACTATCGCTCTGGGCACATGATTAGTGGAGCAGTCGCGCCATTAAGAGCACATCCTCCTCCCACTACGCAAGAGAATGGCCCACCCCTGCGGCTTTAAACATGGAGACTAGATCACAGCGGGAGGCAAGGTTGCTTCCCAAAATTTGGTGGGGCTTGTTTTGCTTGTTTCCGAAATATACAGCCAGACTCCAAGTTATGAACAAAATAGGTTCTGTTGGGTTGTTCCAAAGCAGAATTTGTTTATAAGTTGGAACAGGAACTTCTTTTAAGTGTAACTCCAAAATATATACACTTTGGATAGCATAGGAGTTTATCTATGCATATCTATATACCTGTTTGGGTATCAGCCAGCATGCCTACGACTTGATTCAAGAAATAGAATTTCCTAAGATTTACAGAGACACTCGCTGGAACACCTCAGCAAGCAAAAGTCCAAAAGTGGCAGGCTCAAACCAAGAACCTCAATCAATGGCTGATACTGAATGAGAGACTCCCTGAGAGGAGGCTTCTCTCATGTCCCCCATAGTCAAGTATGAAATAATATCATACGAAAGGTGACTGGCGCAACCTGGGGATCACAACCAGACACAGTGAAGACATCTCATAGAATCCTAGAGTTGGAAAAGGCCTCATGGGCCATCCAGGCCAATCACCTGTCAAAAAGCAGGATATTGCATTCAAAGCACCCCTGACAAGATGGCCATCCAGGGTTAGGGTTAGGGTTGATGCCGAGCATCTTCCCCCCCTCCCAAGTATTTATAGTTCCCCAAGGGCTGAGCGATGGATTCTGTTGTTGATAAACCCAGCGCCCATCACTGGACTTCTGCCTTTTCTTATTGACTCTCTGAACTGTTTTTGGCCACGAACTTCCTTCTGGTGCTTGCCTTGAAATGCAAGCAGCCTCCATTTCCACGCACCTTTGCCAAAGGACTATGAGATTGCCTTATGAAATGTATAAAATATATGAAATGTATGTAATGGAATGAAATGTACTTTGGTTCCCCTTCCCGTTTCTCCTCTCTGACCCTTGCCCCAAAAAGAATGTGACCTAAGGATTACTGTAACAGGGAGGAAATCCTTTGTCCTCCCGAAACGGTCCATATTTACATTTGCATGGGCCCGTGATTGATCCCTTCTCCTTGCTAACTTTCAGAGCAGACAGTAAGCCAGAGAAGGGTCAACAGAAACTTAGGGGAAAAAGGCTGATTGACTCATTTTTAGGTATTTGTTGATCCCCCTTGTTTACAAGGCCCTGAGGTCCAAATACCATCAATAGCTCCTTTTTCATACTTCCTCCCAAATCCAATCATAGACCAGGAAACTCATTGTTCCCCTTATCTGTCACCCCGCCGGTGAGGACAAAGCCTCAAATAACAGCTGGCGGATGCCCCCTGGGCACACCATTTCCCCTGAGCTGTCAAGTTTCGTCCCGCCTCCTGGCTGCTGATTGGACCATCTTCGGAGGCGCTAGGAAGGCGCCGATTGGCCCCCTAGAGGCAGCGGAGCTCGCTGATTGGACAGGAGGCGGGACGCACAGCCAAGCCTCCTCCCAGCTGTTCCGTGGCCAGCCAATCGGGGCGAAGCTGGCCGGCAGAGGGCGGGCGGGCTTTTTGAAAATGTTTCCTTTGTCTGTACACTATAAAATGCCTAGAAAACTCTGTAAAACCATGCTTGCAGTGGAATGATTCCTGCAATTGCATCCTTTTCAGCTGAATCGCAGAAATAAACGCCTCGGTCACTGAACCTCTTCAGCCTCTGGTGAGATTAATTTTTAATATTTCTCGTTCTTTGGATTGGCTCTCGCTGGCTGCTCACCAAGGTCAACGGACCCCTTTAGCGGTCTTCAGGGATCTCTCCCGCTGGGAGACCCCCAAAAGAGCTCGATATCAGGGTTAGGGTTAATAATAATAATAATAATAATACATCACATAGTCTTAGGCGCTTGGGAAGTATTCAACTTGTGATTTTGTGATATGAAATCCAGCATATAGATCTTGTTTGCTGTGACATACTGATATAATCATCATCATCATCATCATCATCATCATCATCATAGAATCATAGAATCAAAGAGTTGGAAGAGACCTCATGGGCCATCATCCAGTCCAACCCCATTCTGCCAAGAAGCAGGAATATTGCATTCAAATCACCCCTGACAGATGGCCATCCAGCCTCTGTTTAAAAGCCTCCAAAGAAGGAGCCTCCACCACACTCCGGGGCAGAGAGTTCCACTGCTGAACGGCTCTCACAGTCAGGAAGAGAAAGTCAGTGTGTGTCCTGGGGCTACTGCAGCATTTCAAGTATGCCAGGCCGTTCTGGCGTCTCTCCAGTTCATGGGTACAAGCTCTCTTTATTTAATCTGCAGCAGCGCAACGTTTCCAGGGTGGTTCTCTGGCCGAGAAAAGGAGGGGGAGAGCTCTGCATTGGCATCCAAGGCTGGGGAAAAGTGGGAGGAGGGATCTTGTAGGCTCTTTGTGGGAGTGGGTGGGGAGACTTGCCTGCGGCCAGACACCCGTCTGTCTGACTGTCTGGGAGGCATAACTGGAGTGAGCAGCGTGCCCTTCCTTCCTTGCCTTCTTAGAAAGAGGGAAACCATTAACTCCGTTAAGATTTTTTCCCCTCCTCGTGACATTGCTATACTCCGCATTTTGCAGAAAGTGTGCTCATCTCCGCACACTCGTGCACCAATACAGGCAGTCCCCGAGTTACAAACATCTGACTCACAGTTAAAGAATGGGGCTGAGACAACAGAAAGTGAGAGAAATCTACCCCTCGGAAGGGAAATTCACTCTTGGATAGAACTATTATCATGGGGAAAGGGTGTCTCACCTGAAGCCAAACTTTCCAAACTCCAATGATCATAAGGACAGAAAGGGAGGTGAAATCTTCTGAAGAGGGGCACAGATACTAAAAATAACATCACAAGGGCATTAACCCTTCCCTATGTAATCCCAAGCTTATCCCCACAATTGAAGGGAGATGTTGACAAGCTGGAATGTGTCCAAGAGGAGGGTGACATAATAATAATAATAATAATAATAATAATAATAATAATAATAAACATAAACTTTATTTATACCCTGCCACCATCTCCTCAACCAAAAATGGTCAAGGGTCTGGAGAACAAGCCCTATGAGGAGTGGCTGAAAGCGTAGGGCATGTTTATTTATTTATTTAATTTACGACATTTATATGCCACCCTTCTCACCCCGAAGGGGACTCAGAGCAGCTATCAAGTATTATTATTATTTATTATTTCTCGCACTTCTACCCCGCCCTTCTCAACCCCCAAGGGGGGACTCAGGGCGGCTTACAAAAAGGCACAATTCGATGCCAGCACAACAACAAAGTAAGAAATAAAACATATATAAACAGCAATTAAGTCAATTAAAACAATTAAAAACATCACAGTCCCTAAAAAAAACCAATCTAATGCTCAACGTTTACCAACTCAGAGTCAATAAATTCAATTCCACAAGTAAAAAGTAAATGCAATATATGATATTATTACCATACCACAATATTAATTTTATCTATTCCATTGTACTATAACATTATACTGTAATATTATTAGTAATATTACATTTAATATAAAATATATAATATAATATTATTAGTAGTATCACATTGTATTACATTGTAATATCATCAATATTATATGTATATACAATATATTATATTATATTTAGCCTGTAGAAGAGAAGACTGAGAGGAGACATGATAGGAGACATGGGAGTTCTGTGTGCCAAGTTTGGTTCAACACCATCGTTGGTGGAGTCCAGAATGCTATTTGATTGCAGGTGAACTATAAATTCCAGCAACTACAACTCCCAAATGTCAAGATTCTATTTCCCCCAAACTCCACCAGTGTTCACATTTGGGCATATTGTGGATTCGTGTAGAGTTTGGTCCAGATCCATCATTGTTTGAGTCCACAGTCATCTCTGGATGTAGGTGAACTACAACTCCAAAACCAAAGGACACTGCCCACCAAACCCTACCAGTATTTTCTGTTGGTCATGGGAGAACTGTGTGCCAAGTTTGGTTCAATTCCATCGTTGGTGGGGTTCAGAATGCTCTTTGATTGTAGGTGAACTATACATCCCAGCTACTACAACTCCCAAATGACAAAATCAATTTTTTTGAGTGAAGGACATATATTGGGTTGTTAGGTGTACTGTGTCCAAATTTGGTGTCAATTTGTCCAGTGGTTTTTGAGTTCTGTTAATCCCACAAACTAACATTACATTAGGTTCTTGTGGGTTTTTTCGGGCTATAGAGCCATGTTCTAGAGGCATTTCTCCTGACGTTTCGCCTGCATCTATGGCAAGCATCCTCAGGCGAAACGTCAGGAGAAATGCCTCTAAACATGGCTCTATAGCCCGAAAAAACCCACAAGAACCTAGTGATTCCAGCCATGAAAGCCTTCGACAATACATTTAACATTACATTTTTGTTTCTATAGATTTAACCCATATACAAAAACGGGGGAAGCAGAGGGAGCAATGGGCACCAAAAATGCACCATTTCTTCTGTACACAAAACTGATTTCCATTAAACGATTATATCAGTTATTAAAATCATCCAAGATCGTAGTCCAGAGCCATTCCTGATTGTCATTGCACCAATTCTACATTCCTTTATTGCACGGCCTGTTCTCCGGAGCCTCGCAACACAGCCTTGCCCGGTCCCCAATTTTCCCCCTTCCATTATTCCCCACTCACCCGAGGCTGCGGCGGCGGAGGCTGCGGTGGCGGCGCTTTCCTCTTGTACCTCCTCCCGAAGTCGAACTTCTCCTTGACCTCGTCGAGGCGCTGCCCAAGGCGGGCCTTCTCCTCCTTGCCGGCGTAGTCCTGGCCCAGGAGGATGTAGGCGCGCCAGTTGGCCGAGTCGAAGCCCCAGTGGACGGTGCGGTTCTCGAGGGCCTTGTGCGAGTGGACCACGAACTTGTGCGGCGGGTAGAGGAGCCGGCAGTCGAGGCACTGGATGCAGGCGGCGGCGGGGCTGCTGTACAGCTCGGGCACCAGGAGCCCACGGCACTTCCCGAAGCACTCGTGGTAGACCCGGAAGCTCCGCTCCGAGAGCTCCAGCTCCAACGCCGGGGAGGATGACGATGAATGAAAGTCCTTTTTGCTCCGGGGAGGGACGGCGCCGCCGTAGAGGAGCGCGTTGCAGAGCCTTTCGGCATCGGTTTTGGTGATGAGGCCGCAGGACGGGGCGGAGAAGGGCAGCACGCCCAGCACCTTAAAGACATCGAGAGAGAACACGTCAAGTTAGAAAACACTGCACTTTGTTATACTATGCAAAGAAATGCCCGACAAAAATTACATTTCTTTAAAATTCATAATGAAAGGTTTATTTATTTTTCGTAGGGTTGAATGGCCATCAGGTCATCAGGAGAGGCCCTGCTCGTGATCCCGCCCGCGTCGCAGGCGCGTTTGGTGGGGACGCGGGACAGGGCCTTCTCTGTGGTGGCCCCCCGCCTCTGGAATGCCCTCCCGAAAGATCTCAGACAGGCCCCTACTTTGGCGGTTTTCAGAAAGAACCTGAAAACCTGGCTGTTCCAACGTGCCTTCTCAGATTAGGAACCCCACTACCAAAGCCCAGAAGCACCTTAGTAGAGCCAAGATCACCCTCACCGCACACTGCACTTATATTTTAATCCCATATCCCTCCGACACTGCAGCACTTTTAATCCTGTACCCCACTCCGGCCGGCTCAGTTTTTAATAATGTCCTGTTGTACTGCTTTGTTATTGTTTTCTGCTTTAACTGTTTTATTTGCTATGTATTGTATTGTTGTATTGTGTTGGGCTCCGGCCTGTTGTAAGCCGCATCGAATCCCTTGGGAGATGCTAGCGGGGTACAAATAAAGTAATAATAATAATAATAATAATAATAATAATAATAATGGCCTCATGACTTTCACTAAAATGTATAGAGAAATTCTAAAGTTCAGGCAGCAGAAACTGTGAACAAAGATATAATATATTCTATTATTAGCATAGCAGAATATTCATATATCTTACTGTATTGTGCTACAGCACTATACTACAATATCACATGCATTATATAATATATATAACTACAATATTGTATTAATATTAGTAGTATTGTATTGTATTACATTATATTATTATCAATATAGAGATATACAATATATTATATTATTAGCATTACACAATATTAGTATGATATCTATACCACTACACAGCAATATTATCTGTAATATTACATGTACAATATTAGTATGATATCTTGGTACTATMCCACTACACAGCAATATTAKCTGTAATATTACATGCATAATGTTACTATGATATCTTGGTACTATACCACCATACAGCAATATTATTACTAATATTACATGCACAATATTAGTATGACATCTTGGTACTATACCACCATACAGCAATATTATTACTAATATTACATGCACAATATTAGTATGATATCTTGGTACTCTACCATTATACCACAATATTATTTGTAATATTACATGCACAATATTAGTATGAAATCTTGGTTCTATACCACTATACCGCAATATTATTACTAATATTACATACACAATATTAGTATGCTATCTTGGTACTATACCACAATATTACTTGTAATATTACATGCACAATATTAGTATGATATCTTGATACTATATCACTATACACAAATATTATCTGTAATATTACATGCACAATATTAGTATGCTATCTTGGTACTATACCACAATATCATTTGTAATATTATATGCAAAATATTAGTTTGACATCTTGGTACTATACCACTATACAGCAATATTATTACTAATATTATATGCAAAATATTAGTATCACATCTTGGTACTATACCACTATACAGCAATATTATTAGTAATAGTACAAGCACAATATTAGTTTGATATCTTGGTACTATACCACTATACCGGAATATAATTTGTAATATTACATGCACAATATTAGTATATGTTACTACATTGTACTATACCACTATACTGCAATATTAGTAATATTACGTGTAATATATACTGTACCGGACAAAATTACATTTCTTTACAATTAATAATGGCAGGTTCATTTGGAACACAAATAGCTGGAAAGTATTGCGCTGGACGCAAACACAAATCTATGTCTATTTGAATAAATAAAAAATTAAAGAAAAATAGATATTTATTATTTATTATTATGTGGTTTCACACTGCCCCTGCAGTCACCAAGAAGTGTTTTGGGGTGTTGTTGTTTATTTGTCTGTTTGTTTGTTTGTTTGTTTGTTGAAGGGGTTGCTCCTTGCTGTTAGTTGTCAGCTTCCCCCTTCAAGGAATCAAACTACTGAGACGGATGTACGGATTTCTCGCAATATTATTGCTGGAGAAGAGCGCAAATGATTCAGTGCAGTCATAATAATAATAATAATAATAATAATAATAATAATAATAGTAATATTTTTTCTCATGTCAGGAGCAACTTGAGAAACTGCATGTCGTTTCTGATGTGAGAGAACTGGCCATCTGCAAGGACGTTGCCCAGGAGATGCCTGTATGTTTTGATGTTTTACCATCTTTGTGGGAGGCTTCTCTCATGATCCTGCAAGGGGAGCTGGAGCTGACAGAGGGAGCTCCCCCACTCCACCCCCGGATTCGAACCTCTGACCTGTTGGTCTTCAGTCCTGTCGACACAAGGGTTTAACCCATTGTGCCACTGGGGGGGTCCAATAATAATAATAATAATAATAATAATAATAATAATAAATCACACAGTCCTAGACACTTGGGAAGTGTTCGACTTGTGATTTTGTGATACGAATTCCAGCATATAGATCTCGTTTGATGTGACATACTGTGCTTTTGTGTCAATAATAATAATAATAATAATTTTTGTCTTGTATTTTATGTTAAATGGGCTTTGATTTGTATTGTGTTGTAAGCCTCTTTAGGGAGAAAAAAAGGAATAATAATAATAATAATAATAATAATAATAATAATAATAATAATAATAATGTTCGACAATAATAATAATGCGTTTGACAATAATAATTCGACAGTAATAATAATGCGTTTATTTATATCCTGCTTTTCTCCCTAACGGGACCCAAAGAGGCTCACAACATAATACAATACAAATCAAAGCACATTTAACATAAAATATGAGAGAAAAATCACACAAAGAATACTAACGTCCAGAAATATGATATAAATAAATTATTATTTTGTATATTTCATATCATGTAAATTTATATTTCATATCATATAAATTAAATATATAAATATATAAAGATTAAGCATGAAAAACATTTAAAACCAATGATTGTGGAGACTCATTCATTAAATAGCTATTAGTTTTTAGATTTTTTTTTTAATCTAGTGATAAATTTATATTAGGCGTTTATGTTTATATGGGTCATTTGAGTTTTCATTGCCAGTTATTCTTGTTCAACTTTAACGTTCGGTGGCTTTTATAACTGCTTGATGTGGCCTGTTTTGATGTAATTTGTTTGTATGTCTTTCCTTTCTGGCACTGAATGTTTGCCATATATGTTGGAAATAATAAAAACGATTTGCAGACTAGGTTCTTGTGGGTTTTTTTGGGCTATAGAGCCATGTTCTAGAGGCATTTCTCCTGACGTTTCGCCTGCATCTATGGCAAGCATCCTCAGAGGTAGTGAGGTCTGTTGGAATTAGGACAATGGGTTTATATATCTGTGGAATGGCTGGGGTGGGGCAAGGAGCCTCTTCCCTGCTGCAGTTAGGTGTGAATGTTTAGCTGATCACCTTCATTAGCATTTGAAGGCCTGCCTGAGTCTGGGAAAATCTGTTGCTGGGAGGTGTTAATCTGTGCCTGGTTTTTTATATTCTATTTGCAGACTGCCCCGAGTCCCTTTGGGGAGATAGGGCGGTCTGCAAATAGTGTTGTTGTTATTGTATTTTTCACTAAGCACGGTGCAAATTGACCTTGCTGTCATTAGCAATTGAATCCACGTGTCAAAAGCTTGCTTGAACAGGTAGGTCTTCCACCAGTTCTTTAAAGATAACAGGGACAGGGCTGTTTTCATCTCAATGGGGAGGAAGTTCCAAAGGGCTGTAAGGAATTGTGGGAGTTGAAGTCCAAAACACCTGGAGGGAGGGCCGAAGTTTGCCCGTGCCTGTTATATATTATATATACCACAACTTACGATATAATACAATATATTCTATAACACTAATAGCATAATAATATATTGTGGCATAATAATATAATGGAATAATTTTATATTATATGTTACGTTTTATAAATAATACTGCAGTATAGAGCTATAGTACAATATAGTAAGATATACTAATATTGTGCTATGCTAATAATAATAATAATAATAATAGTAATAATAATAATCTTTATTTGTACCCCGCTCCATCTCCCCGATGGGGACTCACTCGGTGTGGCTAAAAATAGCATATTATTATATATACTACAACTTATGATATCATACAATATATTTTATTATACTAATAGTATAATATACTGGTAGTGTATTATATATTGTGGCATAATAATATAGTGCAACATAATATATAATAGTTGTGTATTATTATTAATATCTTATATATACTACAACTAATGATACAGCACAATATATTCTATAATGCTAATAGTATAATATACTGCCAGTGTATTATATATAATAATAATAATATATAATATAATAATTGAGCATTATGTGTTACATGTAATGTTACTAATAATATTGCATTATAGTTGTTTAGTATAACATAGTAAGATATCATACTAATATTGTGCTATGCTAATAAAAAATATATTATATGTTATATATACTACAACTTATAATATAATACAATATATTTTATAACACAAACAGTATAAAATACTGAGTGTGTTATATTTATTGTGGTATAATAATACAATAATTGCATATTATATATTACATGTAACATTACTAATCATATTGGAGTACAGTGGTAGAGTAGAATATAGTAATATATCATACTAATATTGTGCTATGTTAATAATATACTAATAATACAATATAATAATTGTATATTATATGATACACGTAATATCACTAAGAATATTGCCATATTTATACAATATAGTACTATATTGTATAAATGGTATAGTACAATAGTGGTATAGTAGAATATAGTAATATATCATACTAATATTCTGCTATGCTCATAATATATTTTATATACATGTAATATTGATAATATTATAATATAATACTAATGATACAATATAATAATTGTGTATTATATGCTATGCTCATAATATATTTTATATACATCTAATATTGGTAATATTATAATCTAATATTAATAATACAATATAATAATTGTGTATTATATGCTATGCTCATAATATATTTTATATACATCTAATATTGATAATATTATAATCTAATATAATATTAATAATACAATATAACTGTATATTATATGCTATGCTCATAATATATTGTACACACATATAATATTGATGCTATCATAATGCAATACAATATCATCCTAATAATACAATATAATAATTGTATATTATATGTTACATATAGTACTACTAATGAAATTGCAGATAGCATACTAATATTGTGCATTGCTCATAATATAATATATTGTATAATACATGTAATGTTACTAATAATATTACAGTATAGCAATATGGTACAATATAGTAATATATAATGCTAGTATTGTGCTATGCTGATAATATAATATGTTGTATGTGTACATATAACTTATCAATTCATCCAGTGGTTTTTGAGTTATGTTAATCCCACAATAATATAATGCTAATACAATAATAATAACGTATAATAATAGCAATACAACATAATAATAACAATAAAAGAATATTATAATAATATGGTACTAATACAATACAATAATAATATAGTAATATAATGCTAATATAATAATGATGTAATACTAATAATACAATGTAATAATATAATAGTACTAAAATATGAAATATTATAATAATATAATGCTAATTATAATATAATACTATAATTATAACATAATATTATTATATTAATATTAGTACGATATGAAATGTTATAATATAATGCTAACACACTAATACTAATAACAACATCTAAATCTAATAATACAATATAACGATAATAATATTGTAGTAGTAAGGATACAATGTATAATATTGTAATGTGGCAGGCCTGGGCCAACTTGGGCCCTCCCTCCAGGGGGTTGGGACTCCAACTCCCACCATTCTGAGTCCCTTTCCAGAGCAAGAGGGGCGGCATACAAATGTAAATAAATATGCAAAATACTACTAATAATTCAATAATAATATAATATAATGTAATGCAATACTAACAATGTAATATTACTAATACAATAATAATAATAATAATATATGATACAAACAATACAATATTATAATAATACAAGGATAATATAATATAGTACTAATAATACAATATAATGATACAAATTTTATTATAAGTATTATTAATATTACATTGTTATTATTGCATTAGCATTATATTATTATTGAATTATTAGTAGTATTATGTGTACTTATTTACGACATTTGTATGCCCTGGAAAGGGACTCAGAATGGTGGGAGTTGGAGTCCCAAACCCCTGGAGGGAGGGAGGGCCCAAGTTGGCCCAGGCCTGCCACATTACAATATTATACATTGTATCCTTACTACTACAATATTATTATCGTTATATTGTATTATTAGATTTATTTATTTATTTATTTATTATTTACAGTTCTTATATTCCGCCCTTCTCACCCCGCAGGGGACTCAGGGCGGATTACAGTAAACACATATATGGCAAACATTCAATGCCAGTTTGACAAACAACATTTAACAGACAAAGGCTATTTTAGATGTTATTATTATTTTATTATTCCTATTATTATTATTATTATTATTATATTGTATTATTATATTTAGATGTTATTATTATTTTATTATATGTATTATTAGTACTATGTTATATTATTCTTCTATTGATATTATTATATTGTATTATTAGCATTATATATTATTATTGAATTATTAGTAGTATTATGTGTACTTATTTATGGCATTTGTATGCCGCCCGTCTTGCCCTGGAAAGGGACTCAGAATGGTGGGAGTTGAAGCCCAAAACACCTGGAGGGAGGGCTGAAGTTGGGCTGTTAGGAATGGTGGGAGTTGTAGTCCCAAACCCCTGGAGGGAGGGAGGGCCCAAGTTGGCCCAGGCCTGGCGTATTGATAATAATTAATAATAATAATAATAATAATAATAATAATACTGTAGTAGTAAGGATCCAATAGATAATATTGTAATGTGGCAGGCCTGGGCCAACTTGGGCCCTCCCTCCCTCCAAGCCTGGAGGTTTCTCCCCCTGTAATATTAATAATACAATAAGCGGCTGAGGGGGGAAAGGAAGGGGCCTGAGGCTGTTAGGAATGGTGGGAGTTGGAGCCCAAAAATTTCCGTCTGCCCTGGAGGTGTTGCAGTTCAGCCTGTGATTGTGTTTGCCTGCCACGTTTGGACTCTTGCTTGCTGAGGTGTTTCTGCTTAAGCGGCTGGGGGGGGAAAGGAAGGGGCCTGAGGCTGTTAGGAATGGTGGGAGTTGGAGTCCAGAAATTTCCGCCTGCCCTGGAGGTGTTGCAGTTCAGCCTGTGATTGTGTGTTGCCTGCCACTTTTGGACTCTTGCTTGCTGAGGGGGGGGGGGGAAGGAAGGGGCCTGAGGCTGTGGGAATGGTGGGATTTGGGAGCCCAAAAATTTCCGCCTGCCCTAGAGCTGTTGCAGTTCAGCCTGTGATTGTGTGTTGCCTGCCACTTTTGGACTCTTGCTTGCTGAGGGGGGGAAAGGAAGGGGCCTGAGGCTGCTAAGCGGCTGAGGGGGGAAAGGAAGGGGCCTGAGGCTGTTAGGAATGGTGGGAGTTGGAGTCCAGAAATTTCCGCCTGCCCTGGAGGTGTTGCAGTTCAGCCTGTGATTGTGTGTTGCCTGCCACTTTTGGACTCTTGCTTGCTGAGGGGGGGAAAGGAAGGGGCCTGAGGCTTAGGAATGGGGGGGGGAAGGAAGGGGCCTGAGGCTGTTAGGAATGGTGGGAGTTGGAGTCCAGAAATTTCCGCCTGCCCTGGAGCTGTTGCAGTTCAGCCTGTGATTGTGTGTTGCCTGCCACTTTTGGACTCTTGCTTGCTGAGGGGGGGAAAGGAAGGGGCCTGAGGCTGTTAGGAATGGTGGGAGTTGGAGTCCAGAAATTTCCGCCTGCCCTGGAGGTGTTGCAGTTCAGCCTGTGATTGTGTGTTGCCTGCCACTTTTGGACTCTTGCTTGCTGAGGGGGGGAAAGGAAGGGGCCTGAGGCTGTTAGGAATGGTGGGAGTTGGAGTCCAGAAATTTCCGCCTGCCCTGGAGGTGTTGCAGTTCAGCCTGTGATTGTGTGTTGCCTGCCTCTTTTGGACTCTTGCTTGCTGAGGTGTTTCTGCTTAAGCGGCTGAGGGGGGGGGAGGGGGGGAATGGCGGAGGTTTCCTACCTTGAGTATCTCGAGCTGGTCTGCGTTGCATCGTGAGCAGTAGATGTGTAGCTCGTCGCAGACGGCGTTGATCTGCTGGAGGGAGAAGTCCCTGAGGACGGAGTTGAGGATCTGGGGCAGGCAGAGGCGCTTCTCCCCGCCCACCACGAAGCACGAGATGGTCTCCCCCTCCAGCACCGTCTCGCACCGCTCCGTGGACCGGTCCGAGGGCAGGAAGAAGGGGCCCGAGGGGGGCGCCGGCGGAGGGGGAGCCAGCCCCTCCGCGCCCTCCTTCCCGGAGCCTCCCCCCTTGTAGATGTCCTGCGCCCAGCGGGCCGAGAAGGCGGCCGGCCCGCCCAGGGAGCTCATGGAGCTGAGGTGGAACTGCTCCAGCGTCTTCTGCAGGCCCGGGTGCGGGTGGAAGCCTCCCCGCGCCGCCGCCGCCGCCGACACCACCGCCTCCATCTTCCTTCGGTGCCCAGAGACAGAGAGAGAGAGAGGCACAGAGAGGCAGGCAGGCTCCGCTCCTTCCTCACAGGACTAGGCCTCGCCTCACCATCGCCTCCCTCGCCTCATCCTCGCCCAAATTCTCCTCATCGCCCACCTCCGAAACTGACAAAAATCCCCTCAGAAAAAAATTATAATAATAAAAGAAGAAGACGTCTTCTTCTTTTACTCCAATGGGGAAATCCTGAGGTAAATAATGACGGCTCAATCTCTTCCCTCGCTCTTCCTTCCTTCTGCTCCGACCCACGTCCTCCTCCGACGCCCGCTCCGCACAGACTGAGGGAAGCTCCGGCGCAAGAGAGGCTGCCGATGCGTCTGCGCACGCGCGGAAAGGGAGAAAGGGGCGGGGCTCTCTCCTCGGCTCCGCCTCCCTTCGCTCAGATTTCGCTCTCTCTCACTCACTTGCGTTCCGCCCTGCGTAGGAGGCGTGGCTTCTTGTCTCGCTCCGCCTCCCTTTCCTCCGACGTCACTCTCTCACTCCTCGGGGAGGGGGCGGGGCCTCGTCTTCGGCCCCGCCTTCCCAGTTCTATTACTCTTTGCGTAGGAGGCGTGGCTTCTTGTCTCGCTCCGCCTCCCTTTCCTCCGACGTCACTCTCTCACTCCTCGGGGAGGGGGCGGGGCCTCGTCTTCGGCCCCGCCTTCCCAGTTCTATTACTCTTTGCGTAGGAGGCGTGGCTTCTTGTCTCGCTCCGCCTCCCTTTCCTCCGACGTCACTCTCTCACTCCTCGGGGAGGGGGCGGGGCCTCGTCTTCGGCCCCGCCTTCCCAGTTCTATTACTCTTTGCGTAGGAGGCGTGGCCTCTTGTCTCGCTCCGCCTCCCTTTCCTCCGACGTCACTCTCTCTCTTGAGTAGGAGGCGTGGCTTCTTCTCTCGCTCCGCCTCCCTTCCCTCCGCTTCCCTTCTTTCATTCCTCGAGAAGGGGGCGGGGTCTAGCGTTCGGCCCCGCCTTCGCTGTTACTCTTGCGTAGGAGGCGTGGCTTCTTCTCTCGCTCCGCCTCCCTTCGCTCCGACGTCACTCTCTCACTCCTCGAGGGGGCGGAGCCTCGTGTTCGGCCCCGCCTTCCCTGTGACTCTTCTTGGCAGCTTAGAAGATGAGCCGTCGCCCCGCCTCCTTTTGCGTAGGAGGCGTGGCCTCTTCTCTCGCTCCGCCTCCCTTTCCTCCGACTTCCCTCTCTCTCACTCCTCTCTCTCTTGTTGGCCCCGCCTTCCCTGTTACTCTTTGAGTAAGGGGCGTGGCCTCTTCTCTCGCTCCGCCTCCCTTTCCACCGACTTCCCTCTCTCATTCCTCGAGAAGGGGGCGGGGTCTAGCGTTCGGCCCCGCCTTCGCTGTTACTCTTCGCGTAGGAGGCGTGGCCTCTTGTCTCGCTCCGCCTCCCTTCTCTGTCTTCTGACTCCCCGGCAAAAGGAGGCGGGGCGAAGAGGGGGCGGAGACTCGTATTGGGCCCCGCCTTCCTTCTACTCGTCTTCGCAGCTTAGGCGCTGAGCAGTAGTCCCGCCTCCTTTTGCGTAGGAGGCGTGGCCTCTTCTCTCGCTCCGCCTCCCTTCGCTCCGCCTTCTCTCTCTCTCTCTCTCTCTCTCTCTCTTGTTGTGCTGACTCCCCGGCTAAGCAAAAGGAGGCGGGGCTAAGAGGGGGCGGAGACTCGTGTTCGGCCCCGCCTTCCCTGTGACTCTTCTTGGCAGGTTAGAAGATAAGCCGTCGCCCGCGCCTCCTTTAGCGTAGGGGGCGTGGCCTCTTGTCTCGCTCCACCTCCCTCCCTTATGCAAAAGAGGGCGGGGCTACTAGATGGGGCGCCTTCCGTCACTCTGAACACCTGGCCTCGCAAAAGGGGCAGGCAGGGGGCGGGGCCTGGTGTTAAGCCACGCCTCCCCTCTGAACACCCGGCCTCGCAAAAGGAGAGGGGGCGGGGCTTCGAGGTTTGCTCCGCCTCCTCCCTCAGCTATGCAAAAGAGGGCGGGGCGAGATGGGGGCGTGGCTTCGTGTTCCGCTCCGCCTCGCTTCCCTCCTGGCAGCTTGAGCCATCGCCCCGCCCCTTTTGCGTGGGGGCGTAACTTCGAGGTTCGTTCCCCTCCTTTCCATCCGCTATGCAAAAGAGGGGCGGGGCAACGGTGGGGGCGTGGCCTTTTGTTGTGCTCCGCCTACTCCCTCTCTTGTAGGAAACTTGAGCCATCGCCCCGCCCCGTTCCCCATACGCTATGCAAAAGGGGCGGAGCAAAATGTGGGGGCGTGGTCTCGCATTGTGCTCCGCCCCCTTCCCCCTCCTGGCAGCTTGAGGGGGCGGGGCCTCGTTAATCGCTCCGCCTCCGTCGCGCTACTTTCCCAATCAAAAAGGGGGCGGGGCGAGGGGCGGGGCCTCGGCTGTGCTCCTCCTCCCTTCGCTCCGCCTCCCTCCCGGCTGGCAGCCCTCGGCGCGTGCGCACCACGGGGAAGGGGCGTGGCCTGTGCGCTGTGCTCCTCCTCTTTCTCTTGTGTCTTCCCTCCTCCCTCCAGGACTCTGGCTTCTTCCGAAAGGGGGCGGGGCGAAGGCGGAGCCTGAGTGAGGCTCCGCCCTCTCCTCCGCTTCCCTCCCTCCCTCCCTCCTCGCCACTCTCAGCAACGAGCCAATATACAGGCGCGCATGCGCACTGTGGAATAATGGCCAGGGTGGGACAAAGGCTCTTGTCTGCTGGAGCTAGGTGTGAATGTTTCAACTGACCACCTTTATTAGCATTTGAAGGCCTGGCTGAGCCTGGGAAAATCTCTTGCTGGGAGGTGTTCATCTGTGCCTGGTTGTTTTAAAATTACAACAGCAAAACAACAGAGAGGAAACAACCAGGCACAGATGAACACCTCCCAGCAAGAGATTTTCCCAGGCTCAGCCAGGCTTCAAATGCTAATGAAGGTGGTCAGTTGAAACATTCACACCTAGCTCCAGCAGACAAGAGTCCTTTGCCCCACCCCAGTCATTCCACAGATATATAAACCCTTTTTCCTAGTTCCAACAGACCTCACTACCTCTGAGGATGCTTGCCATAGATGCAGGCGAAACGTCAGGAGAGAATGCCTCTAGACCATGGCCATATAGCCCGAAAAAACCCACAAGAACCAAGAGATAAATAAATGGAGCATGTCTGCCCCCTCGTGGCCATCAGGCGTATTGTTTTCTTGTCAACAAAACATTACAACCTCACAACCTCTGAGGATGCCTGCCATAGATGTGGGCGAAATGTCAGGAGAAAATGCTTCTGGAACATGGCCATATAGCCCGGAAGACCGACAACAACCCAAACATTGCTGTGAGTCTTCTGTACTGTATGTCCAATGTTCCAGAAGCATTCTCTCCTGATGTTTCATCCACATCTATGGCAGGCATCCTCAGAGGTTGTGAGATCCGTTGGAAGCTAGGCAAGAATCATAGAGTTGGAAGAGACCTCATGGACCATGCAGTCCAACCCAGTTCTGCCAAGAAGCAGGAAAATCGCCTTCAAAGCACTCCCGACAGATGGCCATCCAGCCTCTGTTTAAAAGCCTTCACCACACTCCGGGGCAGAGAGTTCCACTGCTGAACAGCTCTCACAAAGAATCCTTGAGTTGGAAGAGACCTGGTGGGCCATCCAGTCCAACCCCATTCTGCCAAGAAGCAGGAATATTGCATTCAGAGCACCCCCGACAGATGGCCACCCAGCCTCTGCTTAAAAGTCTCCAAAGAAGGAGCCTCCCCCACATTCCGGGGCAGAGAGTTCCACTGCTGAACGGCTCTCACAGTCAGGAAGTTCTTCCTGATGTCCATGAAATGTCTGTATGTGTTTGGTGTGCAGGAATGGGGACCCGACATTAGCCAGGTAAGGCTAGGGTTAGGATTAGGGTTGGGCCATCCAGTCCAGCCCCATTCTGCCAAGAAGCAGGAATATTGCATTCAAATCACCCCTGACAGATGGCCATCCAGCCTCTGTTTAAAAGCTTCCAAAGAAGGAGCCTCCACCACCCTCCGGGGCAGAGAGTTCCACTGCTGAACGGCTCTCACAGTCAGGAAGTTCTTCCTCATGTTCAGATGGAATCTCCTCTCTTGTAGTTTGAAGCCATTGCTCCATTGCGTCCTAGTCTCCAGGGAAGCAGAAAACAAGCTTGCTCCCTCCTCCCTATGACTTCCTCTCACATATTAATCCATGGCCCTCATCATGTCTCCTCTCAACCTTCCCTTCTTCAGGCTAAAAATATAGTATATGTAATGGACTTCACTCAAGTATTACCATACCATTGATTGCTCCCTCCTCCCTGTGGCTTCCTCTCACATATTTATACATGGCTATCATATCTCCTCTCAGCCTTCTCTTCTTCAGGCTAAACATGCCCAGCTCCTTAAGCCGCTCCTCATAGGGCTTGTTCTCCAGACCCTTGATCTTTTAGTTGCCCTCCTCTGGACACATTCCAGCTTAGAGTCAATATCTCTCTTGAATTGTGGTGCCCAGAATTGGACACAATATTCCAGGTAAAGTGGTCTAACCAAGGCGGAATAGAGCATGGGGAGCAGGACTTCCCTGGATATCTAGAGACTAGACTCCAAACCCAAGAGTGGTGTATAATATATCTATGGAATAATGTCCAGGGTGAGAGAAATAACTCGTGTGTTTGAAGCAAGTGTGAATGTTGCAATTGGCATTGAATGGCCTTGCAGCTTATTTATGTATTTATTTATTTATCGTGTCTGGAGCAACCAGACATTTGTATTACATTTTTAACAAAACAAACAGACAAAACACAAAGTTTGCAAGCTTGGTATTCTATTAAATGTCCTTTGACCAGTATCTGGCTGATTGACGAAGCAGCTGATAAATGTACAAATATAATATAATATGCATAAATGTATTATAAATGTATAAATGTATTACAATATGTATATAATATAAATATAATATAATATGTATAAATATTATAATATGTATAAATATAATAAATTATGTATAAATGTATTATAATATGA